TTACCATCTATAGTCAACGCCAAACAAAGTGGCGTGCACGTCATCAAGGTGGGTGTGTTGAAAAATTTACATTGTTGCCAAACTTTTTGTAAAATAATAAAATTTATTATTTACATATCTAGGTTTATAAGCAATATTAACCTCAAATGAGAACAAAAATAATAGTATAATAAAATTATAGATCTGTACTTGCATAATCATTAAGTATGACAATTATTGATCAGATGACACTATGAAACTACCATATTTAATTGATAGCTTAAAGGTACTGAATAAAAATCCAAATGGGGTCCTCCAAATTTTATGCATGGTATTTATTTTACAGAATTCATACAGAAAAATGCATTCTAAAATTAGGTAAGCTACTGGTGTAAGCTTTTTCTGTACAATAAAGTTAGTCGGAGTTTCTTTCTTCAGCGCTGTCTGAATCTGAATCTTCATCACTCTCAAAGTTGATTATTAAAGGTTCGATGTCTGGTCGATCAAAAATTCGTTCTCTTTCATACCATTTAAAAATTTCTTGCTCAGTATGTCGAACACTATTTTTCCACATGTCTGGGGTAACCGTTTGTAGAGCCTCGTTCCACATATCCAAACAGTCTTTTTCACTGTTACCATCTCTACCAATATGTCTGTTATAGTAACCTTTTGCTATGCCCCAAATTAACTCAATAGGGTTAAATATACAATGGTAAGGAGGCAGACGAAGAACTTTGTGCCCATGTTGTTCCGCCAGTTCATCAATCACGTATATTTTAGGTGGTTTGTTTCTAAAAAAGCAGTTATTTTAAGAATAGGAATAAACAAAAGAAATATAAACTGTCGACCAAAATATATATAATTAAGAAGCATTATGTACCGAGCAACAATACTCAATAGCTCTGTTTTAAACATTGTGTTTAAAAATGGTATGTTTTGATTTGTCAACCAGTCTTGGATATTTTTTTCTGCCCATGCATTGTTGGGCACTTTGTTCAATATCATGCTGTGATAAGGGGCGTTATCCAGTATAATCATAGATGGACTCTCCAATTTTTCTAATAACTGATGTTGAAATAATTTCAAAAAATTGTCCTGGTTCATCTCTCCATGGTAATCGCTCAATTTTGTTTTCGAAGAAAATATCGCTTCACTACCCTCAATAAACCCATTTTCATTTCCAGCATGTAATATAATGTATCTAAAATATATTAGTTTTAAATTTTATAGTGCAAATTGTGTAAAAGTACATACCTTTTACCATCTGTTTTAATAGCTTTCACGCTTTTTTGGATTCCATTTTGCCAAGAGCGACCTATGAACACATTTTGAAATATCCAAGTTTCATCGAGGAAGACAAACTGGTATAAGGCCTCAACCTTGGCTTGATTGTATTGCCTTAGAAATTCCACCCTTTTCAAAGCTATACTTGGTAGTTCCATGAGCCCTCGTCGCGGATTGTCCTTAAGCCACTTAAATCCAAGATCTCTAAGCAACCGCCTTAAAGACGTGGCACTACCATCAAATAATGCCCTATCTCTTAATCGAGACCATAAAGTTTGTATCGTAACTTGTTCTTCTGAAACCATGTGTAATATGACATTATAATTTAGTTAACAAATTAATGCAAATTTCTGATAAGTTATTATAATAAGATCTTACTTTTGTGATACATATTATAGATCACTTCTCGAATGGCACTTGTATCCAATGTCGCTGTGTTGGTTACACGTTTAATATAACTCCGCTTTTTCTTGGGCGATTCTAAATTTGCATTACTTTTCACACCCTCGGAAATACGACTAACTGTAATTAAAATAATTTTTAAAGCAGCAGCAACACGCTACAAAAAATGAAATAAAATTTCACTATTATTAATATACATTACATATAATTATTAGTAACCTACCTGTTGAACAGCATTTAAAGGCAACAAAGGCCCGTTGTTGTCCCTTTCTTGCTCAAAGTAGTGCATTAACGAGGCCACGAGTTCCTTACACCGACTATTTAACTGTTTGGGCATCTTTATATACCAAAATTGCCTTTATCTACTCGTAAAATGAATAATTTTGTTTTGAAACAAACAGTTGTTGATTTACAGTATGCTGGGCCAAAGGATTTATAAAGATTTGAAATGCCACAAATTGATTCAGTGTCAAAATTAATACAAATGTCAGTTCCCAGTTTAAATAAGTTTCAAGGTGACAATGTGTCAACGCTGCGAAATCGGTTTAGTGCGTTTACATGTCGATAAGTGATTGGAGCGTTTGCAAAACATTTTATTTCGCATAACGCGTCTAAATTTATCAGAAAGCAACTTATGTGATATTTTAATAACAATGTTTATATGACTATTAACCATAATAAGAGAGTAAAGACCATTTTACAATTTATATATCACATTAATATGAAACTGCAATAGAGCAATTGTTTGTGATAGAAACCTAGGCATTAGGTCGGGGAATTTTTATCGTGATGACGTGCACGCCACTTTGTTTGGCGTTGACTATAGATATTCTGTGATGTCTGAGCTACGTAGTATGTACCCGTGGTAACACATCATCTCTGATATGTATAAGGCCACGTACTACCTGAATGCGTTCCTGTGGTGATGGTACTGTTGCTCGTCTCCTAATAGCTAATTTAAAATAATAACATTTGCTGGTTTTATGTACCATGTAACGTGGTAAGGCCGGCCGCGCGCTGTTGGGACAGAAGGCAGCATGCGCCATCGAGGCTAAAAACGTGCGCGTCGTGATTTGGACGCGCGCCTTGTCTGCAACTGGGCCTAAGAAGCAAATACGTGCTACCCATAAACCATGGAGGCTGTAACTCTATATAGAGGAGCGACTTTCTGGATGGTTTGTTGCCACAATTTGTCGATTTGATGGAACATTGAAATACTAAATACCGTTTGTTGACACACGTATGTGGATTTCCTAATACAGCATAGGGTATATTAGAGAGCACGTTGATAAATGATTCAGAACAATAAATTATCCTTTAATCTGACATATTTTCTCATACAGAAGGAGAAGATATGAATATACAACTTTTGAATGATCTCTGATATTTAACGTAATGAAGCATTTCAATGTAAGGGTTGCCAGAAATGATATCTAATGTTCAGACAACCCTGAATGCAGTTTAAAATGAGACATTCGAATGTTTTGTTTTGGAAATGGTGTAGCTTAAAGTTGAATTTTAATCAGCCGTGCAAAATACAGAGAAGGACAACGCGCAAGAGAAATGTTTTTTATGTTTTAGGAATTTTCGGTGATTTAAAAATCTTATTCTTTAATCATGCAATTAATCCTCCTTCTATTGGTTATCTAAAGATACAAAGAATAATTCGTTGTAAATATTGGTACTTTTTCAATTCCTTTATACCCTAGATATCTTTTGTCATATGTTTTTTGCTTTCAAACGAATTTCATCGGAGATACTGATTCTGTACTTCTTCGTATTCGTTATTTCCTGTCAGAGCGGTCAGCTGAACATTTTGTCTTAGCTAGGGTGGTTAAAGATTTATTGCTCCGTAGCTATGTCAGGTCTGATCACACAGATGAGTACGACAGAAAGTCAAATTAGAAAGAAAGGAGAAAGCAAAGAAAAGGTTACATCTGGAGAATATATTTTTTGTCTGGTTGCCGTCTTGGTTCAGTGGTTTGTCTACTGAATCATGCATCAAGGTGTCATAGAAAACATCGTAAATAATGTCCTTATTAAGATATTGCTACTTTAAGAGAAGTAGTATTTTTCTTGTATTGTGGACGGCTGAGATATTTGTTTGCACTTTATCTTATTTGTATTCTATCACAAATATTTATGATTCCATTTTGCTTTTGCGAAAATACACCTACATAGCAAACTAATAAAAATGGTAGGTGATTAAGTTACTAAAAAATGGCATCAAGCAAGTTGACACGCACTTTTCAAGTACAGCTCAAAGATTATGTTCGGCACATATTATTTCTAGTACGTGTGTACCGGCTGTTGGCGTAATTTTGCATACCATGTTTAAGATTTTCAAGATTTGTCTTCCCCTAAGAAAACTTGCTACCCCTCATCTTGAACTATTTTTGGTGCTGATACATAATTGTGATATATGCGCTAGTGGCCGAACCTCAAACGCATGAGACCTAGACACAGCCTCTTTTGCGACAATATTTTCCCTTTTGTCTGATGTGTGCATAGGATTCCCAGGGTTAGTAGCGTGACAAAAAAAGGTAAACATCTACGTATGTTTATCCGATTCTAATAATTTTTGGCAAATATGTTCAACGTCCCTTACTAGTAAAATGACTAAATTTTCAGCTTGATTCGTCAACTGACTGCAGAAGCTGGTCCAGTAATGTGTTGAGGATCCACGATTTCTTATACACTCATTGACACGTGCTAATAAGGCGGTCGATACCCTATTTTGGTATCTCATTCCAGGCTACTCCAATTTCGTGAGTGAGAGCTGCTAAAGCCACTTAGGGCCAGTATTATAAAGCACGTTTTCAACCTTCGGTTGATCAACCGTCAGTTCAATGCTAACCGCCGGTTGAAATTATTTCGGTATTATTACCATTAGTTCAGTTCGACGTTGGCCAACTAGAAATTCGCGTCCGTTTCACAATGTTGCCTATTCTGCGGACTGTGTTATAACCAATCAGAATTAAGTATTTCAATTTTCCCGCTTCGATCGGTCGCATCGTCTCATTCAACATAAGCCGGCCGTAACCTGACCTAACCTTATATTTTGTTTTGATTTGTTTACTATTGCAAATTGCAAGCATTTTGTATGTGTCTATGGCTACAAAAAATAAAAGAATTGTTTATAGTGATGCAGATTGCCACCGGCTAGTGGACATTATAATTACTAGTACATATAGAAACGTTATAGAGTGTAAAAAAACTGACGCCACAACCTGGAAAGAAAAAGTAAGTAAACATGTTTTTTATTTTAGTAGATTATGTACATGTAACATGTTATGTATATTATAGAATGCCACTTGGCAGAAAATTGCTCAAATTTATAACTCTGGTACCACAGAGCCTCGAACAGCTGACCAATTTCGTTGTAAATATGATAATTTAAAGAAAGACGTTCGTAAGTATGAGGCACAGAAAAGGCAAAGTTTGTATAGAACTGGTGGTGGACCAACTATTGATGAGCTGAAGGCCATATTGAAGCTCCTGTATGATAAAATTAAAAGTATTATTAGCTTTTCGGTGGATGGCTTAGAGCCTAGTCAGGGTGACAGCGACATGCTTGTAGAAAGTATGTATATGAAAAATAGTACGTATGAACTTTCTAAAAGTATTTTTTTTTGCAGGCACTATAGTTATTGAACCAGAAAGTGCTTCACATAATGAAGGAATAGTTGCCAGTCATGAATGCAATGATCAATATACAGGGTGACTTTGAAGTTGAGTCATTAATTTTCAGATAATGATTGTAGAAGGAAGATAAACCCTTAACGGGAAACGTGAATTTTTGGAACACAAAAGGAAACATGCCGACTCTCAGACTGCGAACTTCAAGATGTTCAAAAAATTAGAGTAAGGCGAAAAGCAAGCAATAACTTCGCTGAAACTGATACTGGATGTTTATTTTATGTGTTTAATACGTAAAATGCTCATTTCAAAATGATACAAGAACATAAAAGAAACATTTTTATTAACTATGCTAAAACCATACAAAAATAACGCTGTTGTTGCAACATTCAGAAACTAAATTAAAACTATGGAAAAGTCTCAATATTTTTCTATTTTCTAGTTAAGTAATGAACAAGGAAAGTATATTATAGTCAATAAATAAAAAAAGAACACAATCAAAATTCACTGCAAGTCTCAAACATTGCCTATATTTATGCAGCTAATACATTTGGGTTTGGAGCATTGAAGACATACAGGCTTCCTACATTGTACACACAAAAATTTGGTCATCCGATGGGTCGTTCGGTGACATAAAAAGCAGGCTTTCCTTTTTTCCAAAACCAAATTTTCAGCTTCTGTTGCTGGATGTTCACATTTGCCAAGGATGCGATTTATCGTAAGTCGCAAATCCCGAGGTAAACGGGGACTCTCTAGTCGCTTTTCCATATGCTCACGGACCAGGTTAGCGGCCAACATCTTAGCAAATACCGATTTTTCCTTCTGCAATTCATTTTTCTTATAGCACTGGTGTAAAATATACGAGTTCACTACCGATATATCCAATAGTCGGTAGAAAATAACCAGTGGCCACCTACGCGAACGGCGACTTGAGGTACTCTTCGAACATTTTTCATCAAGAGAATCAACTCCACCTTTATTAGCATTGTAATAGGCTATTATTTCCGGTTTCTGTGTTTCCGGATCACAAGACTTTCTGTGGTGCATAGAAGATATGAGTATTGTGGCTTTATTTTTTTTGCTTACATGAGACACAATAGTGGAATCTTCTCGAAATCCGTACATTGTTGATCCGACTTCTCTTGATTTGTTGGGTAAAAATGACGGAGGAATTTCTCTTTTATTTTTCTTCATTGTACCCACATAGGTCAGTTTGTTCTTCAATAGGACATCCATTAATTCTATTGACGTAAACCAGTTGTCCGCTGTAATGTTGCGATTAGTTCCAAACAGAGGCTTCGCGAGACGTAGAACTGATTGTGTGGGTTTGGAATACCGCTTGTGTTCCTCAGGAAGTACGAAACTATCGGAATCTTTACCGCAGTATATATATGCGTTATAGAGGTAGCTATTCCTTGCATCCGTCAATGCCATAATTTTTATGCCATATTTGCAAGGTTTCGCAGGCATATACATTTTAAATCGACATCTTCCTCTGAAACTCACGAGCATTTCATCGACAGTGACAGACTGGTCAACTCCGTACACATCTTGACAGTTCTTTATAAAACTATTAAAAATGAAAGATATTGGTGCTACTGGATCTAGCTTCTTTCTTTCATTCCTGTCATCTGGGTTATCAAACCTTAAGGCTGACAGGAGAATACCAAATCGTTTTATGTTCATGACAGCTCTGAATATATCTCTTCCAGAGCCATCGGTGGCAAAAAGTGTTTCAATGTTCTCGTGGTTGCTGTTGAACACCGATGTATATACTAAGAGACCCAATAGTGCCTTTATTTCAAATTAATCAGTGTCGTTTAGGTTGCTGGTTTGATTTTTGTATCTCTTTCGCATTTCTTTGAGCTTGTGATTGGTCCACTTAACTATATGTACCAACATGTCGTCAGTGAACAAAAGCTGCCAAACCGTCAACGGAGCTTGTTCTTCTCCATATTCATGAGCTTTTCCTCTTAGAGTTGGTACTTTAATGACTATATTGTGCTTCCTTGTACGTGATGATGGTACAACTTCCGAAATATTCCACCTATGACGATTTTTTCCATAGAAATAATTCTGAGCTGGTAAATCCTCTTCATTTCCTTCGGCTCAGTCTTCTGATAACTCACTATCACTTGTATGATCTGATTCCATGTATTCGTCTTCTGAGGCACTGTCTATATCACTAAAGTCACTTCCTTCATCCTCAAACCATTTTAGAACGGTTTCTTCGAACTCCGGATCATCGTATCGTACACGTTTAGAAGGTCCCGCCATACTCGCAAACGCACCTATGCAACACAAATAGCAAACGGGAACGGAAACGTGCCGTCTGACAGACTGCAACAAACTAAAATTGGTCCATATTTTAAGGCACGTTTTGGCTAGACTCGTGTGAATGGGGGTGGGCGATGGTCACTAATAGCTTATGGATTAGATGGGTTTTTACGTCTGTTAGAGGTGCAATAAAAAAAGATACGCTCAGGTATAGAAACGCCGCAGTCTCACAGACGGCACCTTTCCGGTTAAGGGTAAACCAAAATATGTGTGTAAAAATAAAAAAAAAATTAAAAAATTTTTTTACCTTGTTTTATAAAGTATCCTCCCGACAAGTATTTCAGTGCGGACCTGTATTTGATCGTGAGGTCCCCTGTGAGGTCTTAAGTCACCTGATTCACGAGCCCGTTGTACTACATTAACAAAGGCACGAGGGGTTGGTTGCACTCGATTGGGAAACCGATCCGCATAAACATGTGCCATTTTTTATTTCGTTTGAGCCACCCAACAGACACCAACCACTATTCACACGCGTTACCGACTGACACTGACTGTATGTATACAACTGAATAAAATAATTGTAAAAACATCGTTCCAAATTCTTTCGCTTTTTTGTTTCCGATCCGATGAGCCAAACACGAGCACATAATATTATTATTGAGACAGGGCGGTACTCAAACTTCCAAAGGGCTATAACTTTGTTACTTTAATTTTACCAGAAAAATGGTAAAGGAAAAAAACATTTCTTTTGATCAGATCTACTCACTGTTAAAATAAACTTCGAAGTCACCACTATTGTAGTAGAGGAAGTACTTGGTAGTACACCAATGTCTCCGGATGTATAGGCAGAGGCAAAACTATATTATGTAGAAACACCTGGTAGTACATCCTATGTTTTACAAGCAGAAACAAAAAAAGATAGTGTAGAAACATCTGGGAGCACATTACACTCTCTGCAGGCAGAAGCAAAAAAAGGTTGTGTATATAATTTTATTAAATATTTGTAATATTAGTTCATAGTTATTATATATGTGTATACGTATATATATTTACAGTATTATTTGCAACCAGTTATTTTGTATACAGACTGGTCTGACTATACCCCCAATATGTTAAGAGCGAAGAAGCATAAAATATTACAAACAAAACGGAAGAAAATTGAAAGCCAAGAAAAAGAGGAGGACGCTGACGACTGCAAACTAGCTATGTTTAATTTAAAAAAAGAATTGCTAGAAAAACAAGCTGGTCAAAATGATTTGTACCACAAGATGAAAATGCAAAAGGAAGAAGAATTATATAATCTTAAAATACAAAATCAAACATTGCAAAATAAAAAATTGCAACTTGAAATTGACTTGTTACAACAACAATTAGATAGGCAATGAAGTGCTTAAGAACACATATTGTTATTAAAATAAAACAAATTAATTTTTTATTATGATTTGTATTTTATTTTTAATAATATGTAGTATATATATTGACTCGAACATAAAAAATAATAAGTACCTGTCTTACCACGACTACAGTGAGTAATAATGATGTAGTCACATGACAGTGATTTTAACGCTCTTGTTCCATTAAATTCATAAAATATAGAATAAACTGTTCCCTAAAATTATGGTTGTCAGGTAATATATTGTTTTCATTCACTTCTTCAATATTAATGTCTATATATGGATCTTCAATAGGGTCTGGTTCATTCATGCTGCGTGCTATATTATGTAGGATAGCACATGCTATAACAACAGACCTTACTGCCTCGAGTGATAATCTGATGCCAAGAGATAGAATTGGAAAACGTCTTTTTAGAACACCAAATAATCTTTCAATTGGATTCCGGCTTCTAATTTGAGACTCATTAAATATTTGTTCTACCTCTGTTGCTGGATTGGCAATAGGTGTTATCAAGTACCTTTTTAACGCATATCCTGAATCGCCAAGAAGTACTGTGTTGCCAAACTCATGTGTTTCGAAACGAGCTTGCAACCTACTGTTATTAAATATTGTCTGATCGTGTGTAGATCCAGGCCATCGTACAACAATATCTCTGATCCATAAATCAGAATCCCCCAACTACTTGCACATTAATAGAAAAATAGCCTTTTGTGTTACGAAAATATTCAGCATTATTTCCTCCTGAAAACCAACACAAGTGACATGATTGCTTAGTTAACTAAAGATTAAATTAATTACCTGGTGAAATTAACCCGAGGAAATCTTGCAATGTTGTAAAATTTGTTTTCTATACTCTGCATTTCTTGCTGTGTTCTGGGCATTTTTATACAGGGTTATCCAAATTAAGTGTCCACCATTAGTAACTTTGTTATTAGTGAAAATACAAAGTTGTTTGAATTAGCAAACTAGTAGCATTTTTAACGCTGGTAAAAATGAGAAATAAAAAAAAAACAATTGAGAGTCGTTATTTTGATTTTTTTTCAGTAAAATAACATTTTTATAAATGGATTACCCCTGTATATTATATTTTTTTCTGTTAAAGCATCAAATTTTAAACAAAAAAGTTCATAATGAATTTTCCGCTAAAGTCAAAAATAAAGTCAAAATAACGATAAATATTTTTAATTATTTGCAGTATTATAATATTAAGACGGCTATGAAAACAACATGGCGTTCGCGATTTGACAGCATTAAGATAAGCGACAAATTGTTAAACTGGACATACTCGCAACTAGAAGGCTTTGGAAAACAATGATAAAATCAAATAATGTCAAACATTAGTGTAAATACTTGTTTATAAGCTTTATTGTGTCATTAATTTAAAGAAAAATGTTCTCCCATGAAGAAAAGTGATATGTTAGAATGCTATTTAGTGTGCAGAAAATCCTCCTTGAGAGCAAGAGAATACTACAGTGAATTATATCCCGCTCGCATTCAACCGTATGAACGATATTTTCTGAGACTTTATCGAAAATTTAGGGGCAACAAAATGTTTTTGCTAAAACAAGGGCAAAAAAAGAATTCATAATAAGCGAGGCCACGGAAATTGCAGTTATTGGATATTTTGAAGCTTATCATGAGAATTCAATAGCAGATATTCTCAAGGACTCTAATTTCAGTTATGGTACTGTTCAAAGGATTTTAAAAAAATACAAATTTATTCCGTATAAGTACCGACCAGTTCAAACGCTTTTGGCAGGGGATCCAGAGAGAAGACTTGTTTTTTGCCATTGGTATCTTAGCTTCTGTCGCCAAAATGTAAATAACTTTCGTTACCTTTTATGGACAGATGAATCAAATTTTTCAAATTCTGGAATGTTTAATAGAAAAAACCACCATTATTGGTCAAGAGAGAATCTTTTGTTAGTACATCCAAGAGGCCCACAAGTCCGTTTCAGTTTCAACGTTTGGTGCGGTATAATTGGTTCAAAAATTGTTGGCCCGTTCTTTTATGAGGGAACCCTAACTGGTGAAAGATATGTGGAATTTATGTCAGAAATTCTGACTAATTTCTTAGACGAATTGGATCTTATAAGTAGACATCATCTGCATTTTCAGCAAGATGGCGCACCTGCCCACAACTCCAGAGGTACTTATCATTTTCTAAGTACTACTTTTAATGATCAGTGGATAGGAACAAATGGCCCAATACAGTGGCCTCCCAGATCACCAGATCTAAACCCACTTGATTACTTCTTGTGGGGTTACTTAAAGAACCAAATTTACAAGCGAAGGTACGATAACCTTGACGCGTTAAAGACTGCAGTTAGGGAAAAGATAACCCAGATAGATGGTAGGACCATACTTAAGACAGTTCGAGCAGTTGAAAAACGTGCCCAAAAATGTATTGAAGAACAAGGTGGTGTTTTCGAGCATCTTCTTTAAAAAAAATAGTTATTGTATTTTGTAAGATTATAAGTTGATGTTGAAAATAAAGTTTGTCGATACAATTTAATTGTTTCAGATTGGAGGCCATAACTTCAACAATTTGTAACCTAGGAGAAAAGTTATTGTAAGCTTTTTTGTTTAAAATTTGATGCTTTAACAGAAAAAAATATAATATACAGGGGTTTCCACTTAAAAAAATGTTATTTTACTGAAAAAAATCAAAATAACGACTCTCAATTGTTTTTTTTTATTTCTCATTTTTACCAGCGTTAAAAATGCTACTAGTTTGCTAATTCAAACAACTTTGTATTTTCACTAATAACAAAGTTACTAATGGTGGACACTTAATTTGGATAACCCTGTATATTCTGGAGCTAATGTTACAATAGAGTGTATCACCTTCTTGACAACCTGGGTGGCAGTCGATTTGTGTATACCACCAAAATCACCAATTGTTTGTAGCATAGATCCTGTAGCACATAATCGTAATACCAGCAATAACTGTTGCATTGATGTTAATGCGTGATTCCTATAAAAGGTATGTTTTACGTTATTAACATATTGGTTGATTATAGGATTAGGTATTTACTAACCTTTCTGTATTTGGGGCGATATTGTCCCTTATTCTTTCCTCCAATATAATTACGGTGTTTTTGCTAAGACGAAATCTTAATCTGAATTCATCTTCATTCCATCTGGTAAAGTGATCAACACGGGCTCTAAAATTTCTAGCAGTTCTAAAAATTCTGTTTTGTAACCTTCCTGCTAATTCATCTTCTGATGTATCAGACGAAGATTCACTGTCACTACTATCTCTCCACAGTAATTGTTCGTTTTCTGAAGACGACGATGATGACATTTTACCAGTAATGCAAAGAAAAATCAAAGAAAATACACAAATCACTCCCGACTTAACCTCAAAATGTACGACTCAACCGGTAGTTGGCATTTCAAACGAAACCCAATCCTCCGGTTGACTGAAACGTCACTGAACCGACAATTCAACTTTCGGTTATCGTTTATAATACCGAAACTATCAGTTAACCTACGGTTCAAGTTCAGCCTTCGGTGAACCGTACATTATAATACCGGGCCTTAGGTGGGACACCTGGCGAATTCTACGCACTCTAGGCATTTTGAGCAATCACAAAAAGGCTTCTCAATAAGATGCAAGAAATTTAACATTTCAGTGGCACCGTAACTGTACGAAAACTGAATGCTTCTTTATCACCAAACAATACACGCAGTCACCACAAAAACTTAATAGAAAAACCTGACCATTTTATCACTTGTTGTTCATGGCAAGATAAATCGATATGTAAAAAATTCTTGAATTCTAATAAACATACGTAGACGATTACCTTTTTTGGTCACACAGTATAGAACTACAAAAAAAACGAAAACACGCCCTCCCCCACCCAACATGCTTAATATTTTACTAGTCAAAGATAACACAAGTCGACAATATTTTCACTCAGAAACCAGAGTATGCCTTCCTGAAGCTTTTTGATGCGCTGAATCAGAATTCGTAGTCCAAATCTCTCAATTGCCTCCGATCTCCGATCTAGCGTAAACATTGCTTTTTTCTCCATATTAGACGCAATGCAGCATCTCTCTTTTTTTTGCAGAAACCATAACCATTATCCTAAAATACAGGCCTTGTCATTTCAAATGCCGTTGAGGTTGATTAAGTATCTTTTCCTTTCGCTAAGATATATCGCTTTGAAATTACCATTTTTCTGGAATTCACTATATTTGATACCCTACGCGTTATGATTACGTGTACATTGCAGTTGTGTCGGTCATAATACACGAAAAATTCAATAACAAGTCAATCAATTCTTATGAGTAGGACCTGCCAATTAAAGAACCCATACATCCTCAACACTGAACCATTAAATATCTAAGACTTACTCAAATCACAAGCCCACAACGCACTCTCCCCTATCAAGGCTGAGTTTGATCTTCTTACATCGATTGCCCCATCTCTAAAAAATGATTTTCTTCTGGTAGAAACTAAACCAAAAAATTGCCGTATCTCAGAGAAACAAAAATATATAACAAACTCAACGTTACCTACAAAGATTGAGGCTACTTTGTGTTGATTTGGGAAAAATGAATTCGACATGCTACGTATTATTTTTCTTTTCTTATCCATAGCTCCACCGCCACTGGATCGATTTCCAAAAACGACAATGCATATTCGACCTTGGCGTAGTAGTTATCATGTGTCAAAATTTCATCAGTCTTTGCAATCCTTTATAAAGTTATAGAAAGCTCAATGGTTGGGCGTCAGCCAGCTATAGAGACCGACAGTCATGTCATGTAACACCCAAAAAGCATGTCAAATTTAAGAATTTTTTGCGATTACAGTGCTTCCTCGATTGTGGCGTATTAAGTAAAAGAACGTTAGCACGTCAAAAGTAAAATAAATAGAAATAATAAATATAGTGTAAGGTATAAATAACAATAACTTATAAATCTCAATAAATGCGTTAAAAGTCCTCCAATATAAACACAGGAAAAAATTACAAACATATCGGGGAAGGAAAAAAGAAAAGGTTGTTTAAGTTAAAAGAGTGTCATCGAAAAACTCCTTAATATGCTTGTTATATGCAGAAGCTCTTTTCGAACTTATCTGTACTGTGCACTGGAGTTTGTAATGAATTGCGATGATTGGTGTTTAGATTATGGCGTATTATATAGACCTCAGATCCTAGTATTCATCAGTAGTATCTGTATATATGGGTCCCCAAAATACCAACCAGCCACTAGGTGTAACCTAACTTCGAAAGAAGGAGCTGCCATGTTTCAAGGGTGCAACACATGAGCAATGAAGACTTAAGAAGAGCGAATGTTAAAAAAACTCCTTGATAGAATAACATTGGAAATAGTGGGACATTATCGCTGCCATTTTGTCTCGTGTTTCCCCGGACAGCTGTTACGATGGGGAATATTACGAACATCATGATGTCACAAACGGTCTCTATTCTGGTGCCCTAAAGGCTGGTGCAGTTATCACTTTAACTCTCTGTTAGCAAAACAAACATGACCTCACTCGATCGTCGCTTCTTTCCGCTTGTCGCTGCCTGTCCTCTGGCATTTATGCTTCGCTGGCCAATAGGAGTGCGCAGATTTGAACGTTGGGCACTGGCGCTGACATTTGTTTTGACGAGGATCTAATAAGATTTGAATACACCCTAGCTGTGTGTTGCCTACTTTGAGATTGCGGCACTGCTCCGAAGATGGCACCCGCATTGCTGACCATGTCTGAAAGTATAGCCGTACACCCCATATAGTATTTTAGAAGCATGCAAGCCAAAAACCATATTATCGTAATGCGGGTTGAAGTATTCAAGGCATTTCTTATCATTTAGTAGCAAAACGTCCGTTTACGCTACTCCTCCATAGGTGGAGTTCACAGAACTTTACTTAGGGCGCATTTTGCTGTTGCAAACAATAAATTCGGGCTAGGTAAGAGAAACAAGACTATGATTTATTTGTCTCTAAAATATGAGTCTGTAGTTATGACAAAAGTGCATACTACAGATGGACTTGTACTTTTCGACACATTAAATTCGCTGTTTTTTAAATGTGCTATGGCGATGTAGGTCGATTTCAGGACATGTTACTTATTACTTGGGTACTTACAATCAAGGTGGATCTCTCAACCGGTAAGTATTATTATTATAAGCATTCTACTATATCGATCAGAGGTATGGGAAATGACCATACAAGACAGACAAGGAGTGGAGGTTACAGAAATAGATCTTTTCCGAAGAAGCTGTGGAGTTTCGAGCCTACAGAAAATCAGAAATGAATGAATAAAGCGAATAATGGACTGAAGAAATTGAGAGACTCAGATTAAGGTGGCACAGTCATGTCAACAGGATAGCTGATAGTCGGTGGCCAACAAAGATTTTGATTAGGAAAGAGGTAAGCCATCAGATGAATGGAAAAAGCAAGTCAGACGAGACATACAGAAAAGAGGTTTAGAAAATGAGGTTTGGAGAGATATAGAGGCATGGAGTTGTAGCAAACTCGCCGATATATGATGTATGTGACACGTTGTCAGGTTAGTAACATTATAAGCTTGGCTCCTTCTAATCATGTCGACCACTGCAACAAAGACTATAGTAACTCAAAAACCCTTGCTTCTGACTTACTATATGACATCGATATACTTTATCGGGTTCTCTTTGGTGAAAGAATATCATATCTCAGTCATGCAATCATATGCAACCAGTAAATCTTCTACGTCATACAGTAAGTATAATAGTAGCGGTTGCTTTGATGCAAAAAACCACGGAAAGCCTAACTTACTGTAAGACATACTGTTCGACTTCCAATGATTTTCGCGGTATAGTTTGAACTAACGAAAAGAGCAGTTTTCAAAGCTAACTAAAATGAATTCAAGAACCAAAATAATTCTGTGAAATAAAAAATTTTAACAGAGAATTCAACTACTACGTTCCTCGGTTTTGCTAAGACGACACTCACGTGTTTGCTCTTCATTCTTTCATATTCAAGTCTGGACCTGATACAGACCTATATTACAGACTTATATCGTACTGATGAGGGCTAGAGACCCCTGTCTGGTTGGTCGTTCGTCCATTAGTTTTAAATAAACGGTAAACTCGGAAAATTGGAACGAAGACGATTGTGGAGAAAAGTTGAAGATAAATAAGATGTGCCCAGCGAAATGTAATATAAGTGTGCCTATGCTGATGATACAATAGTAACATTGATTATCACAGAATGAGACCGCAAAACAATACGCTTCAGGAACTACCTTTGCTGTACACAAGTTTGCTTCCAGTAGATGCTAGAAAATTGAATGGTTTATTAGAACTATGTAAATCAAAAGCGAACAGTCTTCCTTTCATTCCTGAGGCTCATCTGCTCTTTATTTTTCTCTAAGGGCCAAGGAAGGTAAAAAATACAAAGAGGACATAATATTAACAGTGCTGAAAATAGTGAACTTGAGAACGATGATAGTGGAGAACACGAAATTGAATATAATTTAAGTTACTCAGATTGACATTAAAGAGGTTTTTTCGACAATTTGTTTGAAAAGTACTATAATATCTCTATAAGTATCCTACTAAGTCTAGAGCAAGTGTACTTCTTTCTTTAATTGATACAACAAAATTTATTAAATCAAATTGTCATATTCGCTAGATTTGTATTGTAATACCATTTATCTACAAGAACAGCTGCAATGTGCAACAGATTTTTGATGAGATTGTCATTTTTCTGACAATGAAATTCATCAGAAAATCTCATTTGAACCAAAGCTGAGCTGCAATAGTCTCCCTTGCAGGGGTCGATATTATGACTTTTTACAAAATTGTTGTAGAATCTACATTGCGCGATATATCGCGTAAGCAATCTTTATATTTAATGAAAATAGACATGAATCATATTTTCAATCACATTTCAATGTAGCAGCTGTTAAACAGCTGAATGTTGCATCATCTATGACGGTGGCCCTATTCTGACCAGCAGTCCATTATCCATTGTTTGCTACGTAAAAATGTGGAAATTACAGCTTCCACTAAATGAAACGTAATTAAGAGCAACAAATCGCTTATCATGAATGAACAGTATGAGTAATGGACAGCAATTAGTTGATGGCACAGTGAAATTAGTCACACAAACATTATGTCGCTAGATCTTCTTATTTGAAGATTGTGTTTTATGTAGGGTGTCCTAGAAAAATAATCGATAAACTATGGGTTCCAGAAAGTGCTAATCAAAATAAAGGTGTACAGAGTCGATTCTTTGTTCCTTTTTTGAGTGCGGCAGGATTACTATTGAGCTTGGTATGCCTTACTGGGTCTCCTGGCCCTCCCCTTTCAATCCGCTCCACCAAGATGCAAGAGCGTATTTACCCTTAAACCAAAAGGGCCAAACCTGGCGTCTCCCCCGT